TTTGCAGTGTTTGGGTTCCAAGACGTTTGAGTACCAAGGCTTTTGAGAACCAAGGTACCACTGTAGTGTTTATTGTTTCCTTCAGATTAGTTAGGAGCCTTAAAGGAAGCAAAATCCCAAAGGGACTCCACTTCTCCCACCTTCGTTTTTGAAACTGCATTAGAAAATTTCTACAGAACCCAGAGTGGGAGCTGGACTTGACTCAAAAATTGCTTTATTGGCCAGCCTGCCTTCTCCTGTGAGCCAACTGGGTACCCTTTCACATAAAGCGGAATCACCTAGCTGCCTCCTTGGACTGAAATGACACACCAGTCGCTTGGGAGGGCAGAATGAGATGGCTGCCACAGCTGTGTGCCCAGGTTTCGATCCCAGGCGAGGCTGTTGCATCCTTCTCATGTGCCCTTCCTGAGTGGCTATGCAAGGAGTGTTTCCATGGTGGGGTGCGGAGGGGGAACAGAACCTGCTGAACCACGACAGCCCTCGCTGCTTTGTGAAATGGGTCCTTTTCATGCCGGCCTCTTCAAGCGGCTCTGGAGACAAAGCCATGCAAGGGCTGTCTCAGGGAGGGTGGTGTGAGAAGCACCTGCTCCAAAATGCGCCCAGGGCAATCAGCCTGGCATCCTCCCCCCCCCCCAATTCTACGCCCCTGCATTTTATTTTATTTCCTTTTATTTTTTACAAACTTGTGTGGAAATGTGGGGAACTGAAAAAATGAGAAACAGAGAGAAATTCTGATGATAATAATTTTAAAAAACAACCCACTTTCTCACTGGGCCATAAATTTCTGCTAAGATGGGCTTGGCAAATGGTTTCAAACACATAGTCAGTTTACAGGAAAAGGACTTCTCTGGCATGCTGCTTGAGGGCGGGTGGGCAGGGAAAGCTTATCAGTTTCACGGCTTCTTTTTACAGCTTTTATACACAATCCTCCAAGCTTGTGCAAGATGTTACATATCCAACCCATTCCCCCACCTAAGTCGCAAGCAGAAGAGTCCACGGCTCCAGCTGCTAATGCATTTTTTCCCACTTCAAAAAATAGATAAAATTGGATATATGGAAGGTCTGGGATACTTGTCTCTGTCAGCAGAATAAATCTGCATCAGAAATCAAACCTGGTGGATTACTGTGGTATGCCTAGCATTTGTACAAACAATGCATGCAGCATGAGTCAAAGTTTAAATAATCATATTGTTATTTGAACTATGCTAATTTTAACATCCCACCCATAGTCCTTCTTCATTTATTTTTGTTTCTTGGGGTTTAGTTTTGTTTTGTTTGGTAGATTGTTGGTCACTTTGGAAAGGACTGACTGGTTTCATTTAGCCTTTCTAAAAGGGTCTATTGCACTTTCTTAAACTTGAAATGGGACGCGGGTGGTGCTGTGGTGTGAACCACTGAGCCTTGGGCTTGCTGATCAAAAGGTCGGCGGTTCAAATCCCCATGATGGGGTGAACTCCCGTTGCTCGGTCCCTGCTCCTGCCAACCTAGCAGCTCAAAAGCATGTCAAAGTGCAAGTAGATAAATAGGTACCACTCTGGCGGGAAGGTAAACGGTGTTTCCATGCGCTGCTCTGGTTTCAGTGTTCCATTGTGTCAGTAGCAACTTAGTCATGCTTGCTGCATGACCCGGAAAACCTGCCTGTGGACAAACGTCGGCTCCCTCAGCCAGTAAAGCGAGATGACCCCAGAGTCGTTCACAACTGGACTTAACTGTCAGGGGTCCTTTTCCTTTACCTTTAAACTTGAAATAATGCATTTATCTTGCTGACGTGAAACACATAGATTAAGTGCGGAAAGGGCAGGCCCTCCATTTGTCTAGTTAATTACATTGGCACAAGAGGACAGATTTGGACAGGGTGCGTCTGAGATGCTTGTTGCCTGAGGCAAAGGGTGAAATGACTCCACCGTCCTGCATATTTAGAACTTCGAAGAGAGAGGTACCATTTCATCCCTTGCCTCAGGCCACATCTGTCCAGATCTGCCCTTCATCCAATTCCAATGTAAGATTCACTGCTGTTTATCGATTTCTCTCACATGCCACTTGAAATTGCATTATAAACGGCAACTGGCCAAAAGATGGTCAGCATCTTCTGACTGAGAAGCATGTTCTTTATGTGGGTGTCAAATTAAGAAAAAATGTATCAAAAGTAAATATCATAACCATATTGTCTACAACATAAGTGTGGTAAACGCTATATAATAAATATTTTTTTTAATCTGGTTAAATTAAATCAGTAGCACAAGTGAAGCTCCATGTGTGAGATATCTCACTTCACATATTTCAAGGCAATATATTTTACATTTTGCCTTTAATTCCCTCCATAAAATGGGGGACAAGGCTGTGCTCAAATGAAATGTCAGTGAGAGAACGTCCCTGTGGCCTAATAATATTGCATACCAAGTTTCATTTTGATCTTTCCAATGGAACTTCGGCGTTGCATCTTTCCTGCCTTAACATAAAATGTGTGTGGAGATTTAAGTGGGTCTTGAAAATGAAACACTGGATGGTATTTTGACTATGCAAAGCAACTTCCATTCTGATATCTCAAACTCCAAGGCATAGATTGCATTATAGGATAGTCTGCATTTCCCTTACCCTCCTTTGCAAATGGGTGCATAGGTTGAGCAGCTGTTTGAATTTCAAACCGCGAACTGGGTTTTAGATAATATACATACTAGCACTATGGATAGTGTCCAACAGTAGTGAGAACAAACCCATTGACAATAATGTGCATGACTATTTGATGAGTTTACTCCGTGTAAAACTCTTTGGGCTTAGGCCCAGGATATCTGAAAGACTATGTTCTCCTGTATGAACCTGCCCAGCCCTTCTTTCAGTCTGGCTGCCTTCTGGGTGGATGCTCCCAGACTTTGGGAGTCATGATGGCTACATGGTGCCTCCAGGATCTGGGGCAGCCATTGCTGGGAAGCAGCCACAGAAGATGTACCCTGAGAATCCCTCCTGGTTCACTTGTGGAGTTTTCAGAGAGACAGATGGTGAACTTCTGTGGGAGGAAGGATGCAGGGCCACAGAGGCCTTTGGCAAGCCTCTTTTCATGCTCTTATCCTCTTGACAGTGTCTGTGATGAAGGAAGAATGTCTCTCTCTGTCCCTGGAGCAGTTGCAGGAGGGGGAACAACAGGCTCAGATAGAAAGGAAACTCTTTCTGAGTTTAATCTCCCTGCGGCTGATGATCACTTTGTGATGTGCCGGGCAAGAGGCTTCCTCCCTCATTCCTTCTCCCACTTCCTACTTGTACATCTTATGTTTGGAAGTTCCTGTTGCTGTTGATTTACTATCATTGCAGTACTGAGTGGTCATTGTTTTCCTGCAACCCCAGCTCCAGAGGGGACTTTTACAATATGGAATGAGTCACACATTCACGTTCAGCACATAACACTCCATCCTTTGAGGACTTAGCGCAAACAAAGAGCTAAACGGAAGCTTTGACAGGGCAGCTGTTTGGTAATCCAGGCAGTGGCGTAGCGTGGGGGGTGCAGGGGGGCTGGTCGCACCGGGCGCAACATCTGGGGGGGCGTGCTCGCACTCGCAGCTGTCTGCCCCTACCTGGCTCACTCAGGGTTAGGGGGCGCAAATTACTTTCCTTGCCCCGGGTGCTGACAACCCACGCTACGCCACTGTATCCAGGCAACTCTGAAACTGTGAAGCATGAACAGGACTGAGACGGAGCATCTGTTGCACCCATAGTGTCAGCTTCCTGACAACCCCTGCACCATATATGTCCAACCACATAGCAATATACAGGTAAACAGGGCTACAAAAGGACAAGGATTGTGTGTTCCCACATACAAAACACTGAAGGCTGGGAATATGCAATGTCCCCACAATCTATGTGCAACCAGGTGGGAAGAGGTGTGGTTGGTGTGGTCCAAATTTGCACAAGAAATTGTCACGAAAAGTGTGAATAAATGGGGAGGGGCGTGTTTTTGTTTTTTGTTTTGCTGGATTTCATAGTTCAGACATAAGTGAATTTCAGGCCAAAGAGCCGGAAGCTGGAGAATTGGAGCAGCACTTTCTCTCCTGCTAAGGTTTAAACCACCAGGACTATATTCTTATCCCAGACTTCCATAATCTGGTATCTTCAGAACTTTTGGGCTACAACTACCTTCAGCCAGCACATCCACAGGGACTGGGGCTGCTAGGAATTATAGTGCAAGACATCTGGAAGCATCTGGCTGGGGAAGCCTGCATTCTTCCTTTATGTTGGAAGGCTATGACCTCCTTAACATCGCTGGGCTCTCTGTGCTTCAGACCAACAGGGCCAACGGCCAGGGATGATGGGAGTTGTAGTCCAGCAACATCTGGAGGCCCACAGAGTCTCCACACCTGTCTTCCGCTCTCAGCAATTAGCATCTTTCTCATGCATCTCTTTCCCTCTCCTTCTGAGGGGGAAGCCACGAGGCAGGGCCCCAGACCAACAACACCAGTCCATTTCCAAAAGGGTATACTCCCTGTGTATCCTGCCTTTCTTCCGGAAGGAGAGCCAGTTGCACCAACAGCAACAAAGAGTGACAAAAAGCAGCGGAGTGACAGACCGCTTTAATTCACTTAAGCTGTGCAAACCAGCGGTACAAACCTGAATAAAACACTGGGGGACGGGAAGGGAAGCCGCGCTCTGCATAATCACTATGTTGCACAAGCAATTCATTGGAATGGCAATGCCTTTCTATGGGGTGGGGGGCTCAAATATTTTCTTGCGGGTGGGAGAGGGGGTGAAAGGTCCTTGGCCCCAGGAGTTGACTCCTATGGTGCAAACCTAAATCCCTTCTGCAAAATACTGGCCGTCTGGGGGGAGGGGGGCTAGTTATCATAGACATCGGAAAACAGGCAGATTCTACAAATTGAAAACCGTGTGTGTGTGTGTGTGTGTGTGTGTGTGTGTGTGAGAGAGAGAGAGAGAGAGAGAGAGAGAGAGAGAGAGAGAGAGAGAGAGCCTGCGCAAAATCTTCTAAGTACCTAAATCCAAGGCTGCACGGAAGATCAGTTGGAGATTTCCTGAAACAGAGCAGAAACAAACGCGCAAGTCAGGCCAGCCCTTTGCTCCGGACTTTGACAGGCTTCACTTCGGAGCTCAGGGTGGGGGTGGGGAGGGTCTTCCCCGGGCACAGTTCGGAGCCCCACCTGCGCATAAAGAGACTCTTTCAAAATAAACAAACACACAAAATCCCCGCAGCCGAGCCGAGCGCCCCTCTCTCCGCCGCTGAGCCCCCGACGGATCCCGCGCTGCCGAGTCGGAGGAGCGCAATGCTCCTTCTCGGCGCAGCAACCGGCCAACTCCGCGCCGCCGCTGCCGAAAGCGCCTGGCCTGTGGGCCGACCTTGAGCCGTAGACCTCCGACGCCGCCGCGAGAAGGCTGCTCGCCGCGCTCGCCTGGCTGGATCTGGCCCCGGGGCAGCCGCCTGGCGGAGAGCACCGACCGCCTCCCTCCCTCCTGCCGCCGCACGTGGCTGCGCTGAGCCGCCGGCTGCCGGGAGGGGGAAACGGGCAGCTCGGGAGCCGGAGAGGAGAAGCGCAGAGCCGCCAGCAGCGCAAGAGGAGGAGGCGGCGGCGAAGTCTTGGCTGCCCCAAGTTTCCCCGAGCGAAAGGAGCGCGCTGCGAGGCAGGAGGCGGCGCCCGGCAGCAGCAGCAGCAGCCGCGCCCTCTGCTCTCCGGCGCCCAGAGCCACGCACAGCCGGCTTTGCGCAGGAGTCGCTCGGGCAGCATCCCGGCCAGGCGAGGCAAGGCGAGGCTCCGCAGCGCGCACAGCGCTCGTCTTTTCGCGCAGCCGAGAGAGCGAGCTCAAGCTTGGAACAGGTAAGGACCGGCTGGGCAACCTGGGGGCGCGCGCGGGTCCTCTTCTCCGTTGCCCCTTTGCCTGTTCGTTTGTTTGTTTGCTTACTTACAGTATTATTACAGAAGTGTAAGTTAGAAAGGATCGGCAGGATCCAACCCGCTGCCAGGCAGAAATCCTTCACTCAACACTAGGGCTCGAACCCCCGTCCGCATTGCTTATTTTGGGTCCCCATTTGAGTGCCACGACTCAAATTGATTATGTAGCACAGATGTTGTCAAGGTGTGATGATCTGTCCTGGAACAGCCCCACTGAAGAAGAGAACCGGGATTGTTACCCAGACCTCGTTGCTGGTTGAAAAGGGCCCCCCCATGACAGTTCAAGCTTCAGGACCCCCGAAATGTAGGTCTGCCACTGGCTCTACCAACCGAGCTACCCCAGCTTTCTTATTCCAGGGCAAGGATTGCGTCTTGCGGCTGACAAATTGGCTGAGCAATTGTGCCGCTGCGCTAATGTGCTTACAAGCAGCGTGGCTGCTGCAAACAAACTGGGACGTGTCGGCTTTCAATTATTATTATTTTTTTAAAAAGTAGGGAAATCCTTTATTTTGTTTTATTAAAAAAATGCTTGCCCAAGCACAGTTCTCTGCAATAGGAAAGCTATAAGAATAATGAGAACAATAAATCACTTATATTTTCCACTGCGATTCGGTTTTGGCGAAACGGGGGCTTGGTTCTTGGCTGTTCTCTATTTTCCAAGGATGCCTGTTGCCTGCATATCCCACCTGCCGCTGCTTCTTTGCAGCATGATCCTAAGGCTGAAATCTTATGCACCTCTCAGCTGCTGGGAGTAAGCCTCATTTAACCCAAGAGGGTTAACCACATGTGTCTAGGATTGCAGCTGATTGCAGTTTTATTCGGAGATTAAACTTGGTGCGTTCTTACTGTGACTTCTGAACATGTTTGCCTGAAAAACATTTCCGGCTGCTCAGTGGGTGCTTTCTAGTTGAGGGTGTCTAATAAATCCAAGCAGGAGCTTTGGAAGGAGCTGGAGCAGCATAATGTCAAACCAAAGCTCACCCCCCCACACACACACCCAAAAGCGTAGAGGGAGAAAGGATTCCCAACTCACAGATCTTTTCTCATAATCTTTCCCTTGCAATCCTCTCCTTGGGAGCTTTTGACAGGTTGAACTGCAAGTGGTGTTTTCTCTTCCAAGAGCGCAGGTGTGTTAGTTGGGTAGCAACATTGCAGACACAAGTCTTTTGACCCCCATCCCGGACAGATCAGGGCCAATGACGATTAACACTGGGATGGAGGACTTATGGATGGTGGAGTATAACTTCTCCATTAAGACAATTCTCCCTCGTCCTCCTGTTAATTTCATGGCACTCAGATGTTAACTGTCTAACCTTTCTGGTGGGTGCACTTAAATAAGTTCTAAGGTCCAGAGGTACCAGTAAGTCGCTCCGAATCACATAGTAAACACTTAGAGTTGTGTTTGAGCTGATTGGCCTTATCAGTTGCATTTATATTTGGGTAAACAAATCTGTAACAACTCTGTACTATGTAACTGTGTAAGTTCACTTTTCAGTGGCCCCCCCAGCACCTGAGAGTTGCTTAGGATGGTGCCAGAAACCAGAGACCAGTCTATTAAGGGGGATGCAGTTAAGGCTTTAAAACAGCCTTCCCCAACCCGGTGCCCTCCAGATGTTTGAGATTGCAGCTGTGATCAGCTCCTGCCAAGCGCTGCTGTTCTGGCTGGGAGTGGGGGAGATGGTAGCTCAAAACATCTGGATGACACCAGGTCGGGGCCTGTTTTAAAACAACTGCTTCTTTTGCAAGTATTGGCTGTGAGATGTAGGAATAAGTATTGTCATTCAGGGAGTGTAATATAATTGCCTCTGGTTGCTGTGCTCAAACAAGGGTCCCTGACTGGCCTCTTTTGTAGCATTCCCATTGCAAAATTCATTCGGAGCAGCAGGAGTTTGAAATAAAAAAAAATGGTTTTGATTAGTGCCCAGCCTTTTGGGGAAGATTTTGAATCCTCACTCTGCAGTGGTAGCATTCAGTATCATGCTCTGTGAAGTTCTGGAGGAGCACGGGTGCCTCCTGCCCCCCAAATGATTGTTGTTGTTGTTTAGTCGTTTAGTCGTGTCCGACTCTTCGTGACCCCATGGACCAGAGAACGCCAGGCACCTCTGTCCTCCACTGCCTCCCGCAGTTTGGTCAAACTCATGCTGGTAACCTCGAAAACACTCCTCTGTCGCCCCCTTCTCCTTGTGCCCTCCATCTTTCCCAACCTCAGGGTCTTCTCTAGGGAGGCTTTTCTTCTCATGAGGTGGCCAAAGTACTGGAGCCTCAGCTTCACGATCTGCCCTTCCAGTGAGCACTCAGGGCTGATTTCCTTCAGAATGGAGAGGTTTGATCTTCTTGCAGTCCATGGGACTCTCCAGAGTCTCCTCCAGCACTATAATTCAAAAGCATCAATTATTCGGCGATCAGCCTTCTTTATGGTCCAGCTCTCACTTCCATACATCACTACTGGGAAAACCATGGCTTTAACTATACGGACCTTTGCTGGCAAGGTGATGTCTCTGCTTTTTAAGATGCTGTCTAGGTTTGTCATTGCCCTTCTCCCAAGAAGCAGGAGTCTTTTAATTTCGTGGCTGCTGTCACCACCTGCAGTGATCATGGAGCCCAAGAAAGTAAAATCTCTCACTGCCTCCATTTCTTCCCCTTCTATTTGCCAGGAGGTGATGGGACCAGTGGCCATGATCTTTGGTTTTTTGATGTTGAGCTTCAGACCATATTTTGCGCTCTCCTCTTTCACCCTCATTAAAAGGTTCTTTAATTCCTCCTCACTTTCTGCCATCAAGGTTGTGTCATCTGCATATCTGAGGCTGTTGATATTTCTTCCGGCAATCTTAATTCCGGCTTGGGATTCATCCAGCCCAGCCTTTCGCATGATGAATTCTGCATATAAGTTAAGTAAGCAGGGAGACAAATGATGGGGAGCAGCAAGTTCTCGGCTTTGATCAGCAGACGTGCTCTCCAGCTTCTCTCTTGCTGGCTCCAGAAACACCTGGCAGCACCTCCTCTGGCAATGCCTCTCTAATGCAGGTGTAGCCAGAGCAGAGGCCTTCAAAGGTTAGTGCCCTTCAGTTCCATAAGCCCCAGCCAGCTTGGCCAATGTCCAGTGATGGGAGGAGGTACAGTCCAGCCACCATATTGGTTCCCCTGCCCTCCATGCCCTGACAGGAAGCCGAGCCGGACACTCCCTCTTTATGGCAAGCGGAGAAGACAGGAGACCCTAAACTAGGGGGGAATCTGATCCAAGAGAGAAGGAAGATTATTCGAATATTACGTTTTTATTTATTCATTACCTGCCCTTCCCTCTAAGGTCCTAAGGTGGTTACAACATTAGAATGCAGATTTGAAGACAGTTTAATACAACTTAGAATAATAAAAATTAAGGTGCATTCTAAAAATATACATCTCAAAAGTCAGAGTAAAGAGGCTGTGATTTCCTATGTGTGAATGAGAACTATTTACTACTTACTTACATACTTAATCCAATCTTCAGCATCCTCCGGAAGCTGCATAATGCAGGCGCCGGATGCATCTATGTGGGGAGGCAGTTTCACAGCTCACAGCTGCCACCACCCCAGTGTCAGAAGGTTTGTAGGGAAGGAGATGGTCTTGCCAGTGATTCAGGGCCCGAATCATTTAGGGCTTCCAGCACCAATGTGAGCATCTTGAATTGGGTCTGGAAATGAGCTGGCAACCAATGGCAAATTGCACATAATTTTCAAATGGCAAGAACTGCCCTCTTTCAGGGATGCTCCAGCTTCAATATCCCTGCACTGAGCAGGGTTGGGCTGAGTAACCACCAAGGACACTCCCCAATTCCAATAGCTCATCCTTCTAAGCTCACAGATCTGTTGGCTTGTTTCTCTGCCCCCCGTGTGAGTTTCTACTCCTCCTTGTGAACAGACGAATCATAATTCCGTTTCTCTCCTGATTCTGGTGATGGAAACGGCAGGTTTCTTTAGAAGTTTCTGCGTTAATCCTTTCCTGACACACAGAGTTACGAGCAACATGCACCTTATTAAAGTTATTTAGCAGTTCTGTGCTGAAAAGTAGTCAGGCAAATGTTAGAAACAAGAGGCAAGCCAGCACTTGCTGCTTTATAAAAGGTCCCAGAGCGTTTCGTTTCGCCTGTCAAAATGGACTGGCCCTTCCACAGTTTCCTCTTCCTCGCCTTCTCTGCAGGTGAGCTGCAGCTAGTCAGGAATTCACCTTCAATGGGGTTACCTACCAAGAGAAAATGAGAAGCATCCCTCCATTTCCCCCTTCCCTTGTCCAAGACCTGTGTGGAGATTGCTTTCCATTGGAGAGAAGATGGAAGTGGTCAGAGGCACTTAGCTTCCAAGCACCATTCTCTGGAAAGCGCAGGAGAGGAGAGAGGTCTCTGGTCCTGCTTGCGCTTTTCCCTAAAGAGGCTTCAGGCTGGTCACTGTGAGAACAGGATGCTGGACAAGTTGGGCCATTGGCCTGACCCTGCAGGTTCTTTCTTGTGTTCTCTCTGCCCTTTACCACCCCATTCACTGAATCCATAGGATTCAAAAGCCCAATATTTTGCTATCATAAATTTCATCTTCTGCACCTCACTGTCAGCCATGTTTCCTTAATGTAAATGTGGAATTCCTGTAAGATGCTCTGAGATTTACTGGGAAGGAGCCCCATTGAACTCAATGAGACTCCCTCTGAGTAGACATGAATAGGACTGTGCTGTTAGAATTAACTATCAAATTTAAATTAAGGAACGAATTTAAAGTTGTTTCTTCTATGCCAGTAGTTTGATTTCGTAAAGTTTTCATAATTTGGACCAGCTGAGGTTGATTACAGTCAATCTTTTCTTCCACATGGTG